GAGAGTACTTACAGGGAAGATGGTGACAGAATTCTTTCGCAAGGGGCAAGAAATTATTGGATTGCTTCTGGATCACGGACAATTTATCTGTGAAGCAGATTGTGGACAAAGTCAACCACCGTAAATCCTCTCTGTGCTTTGAATATCCGTGGCTGGTGATGTTGCCATCACTCACTGATGCAAGTCTAAATATTGCAAGGAATTGGTAGAGCCAATCAGACACTGTTTTAAAGCAGACGTTCGTTAAGATGAACAATCTTCTCAGTAAGACGTTTCGACCCATACATTACAGACCTTTTCTGTTGTATTAAGTTTTTTGTGAATTGGTTTCGACAAATGAAGAGCTTTCCTCTTGTAAGCCAGAACAGATTAAAGACGGTGCTTTTACTTTTTTGTTTATGTAACAATGAGTTTCATTCTGATTATTTCGATTTTTGAGCTGCCAGGAGTGGGCACAGTCAGATAATTATTTTTTGTCTATATACACTTGAAAAGGAAGGCTCAAACAGATGTGATGAAGTCATAGCATTAGATAATGATGAGAACGACATTGACAGATTTCTTTTTTTTCTTATTCTCAGGCGAGTACCCATTTTTATGTACAACACGAAGAATGCTTGTAGTACTCACTACTCCTCGGCCTATGTGTAATACTCAATGAAACCATCCAGAAGCTATCTATGCTCAATGGAAGATCAAGTCTTGTGGATTCACTAGTGGACTAAGGCTTCTCCAAGAAGAACTCCTACTTGACCCAGCGAACTTCTTCAGTTCACCCTGCCATCAACCTGGGGGGTCTTCTTACGAGCCGTTTGCTCTCCCTTTGGAACCCAGTCCAACGACTCTCCGATCCAGCAACTGTCGATTCTTTTCTGCAACGCGTCCAGCCCATTTCACTTTAGCTTATTACCGCGGGCCCTTGTTTGTGCTCCAACCCATTCATTCATTCGTCTTCCTATTTTTTATTGTTATTATTTACCAACAGATGTCTTCCCATGGCGTATTGCATAGTCCGCAGTTCATTAATAGCTTTCAGGCTCAGAGTCAACGTTTCGCATACATGAGTTAACACCCCGATATAAAACTTTCTGTTTTAAGCACAAGGACAGTTTCCCGGAAAAGCAGTTGTTAAACCTTTCTAAAGTGTCCCATAGCTTCTCTCTTCTGTTGATTTCACTTCGATTCTTCGTGACAGAGATGAGTCGTCCCAGACAAATAGTTTTGCACTTCATCAGGCCAAATTTTCTTGTCCGTTGAGTTCAACTGGTTGTGCGGTCACGTATGTGTTGATGGTAACTTTCAGGCTTATTTTCAGTCTAAATTTCAGCTCTTGGACTTTGCCATGGAGTTCTTCTGCCACTATTGAGGTTCAGAATGAAAATGTCGCCCATAAACCGCAGATGGTTTAAATATTGTCCATTTATGTTCTGTTGCTGACTTTCTCAAAGGAATGTCTTTAAGACCTCTTCAAAGGCTGCTGATGTGAATGATGTCAAAGATATAATTTACGACACAAAGTCGGACGCCTTTTCCGGTTTCCTTTGAACTTGTTTGTCCTTTCGTGAAGCTTCACAAAATGAAATTCTTGCTGAGAATTGCAATCAGGTGTGTGAGTCTTTTGACTGATTCCCTGGCTTCTTAAGGAATCCAGCATAGAACAGAAGTACAGTGATCGAAAGCCTGCTCGAAACCGAAAAACCCAGCCAGAGGGAAACTGATATTCGTTGTTTGTCTGAATCATTTGTTGTACCAGCTGGAAATGACTCACCGTACTAAGTCTACGTCTGAACCTTGCTTGCCCCCTTGGTTGAGCAGCGTTCAGTTTTTCTGTAGTGGATTCGTCAGTACCTTCGTGAAGATTGGCAACAAATGGATCGATCAGTAGTTCTTTACATTCTTTATGCCCCCTTCTTATGGAGTATCATTGATAGAAAATCGGCGATGCGGCAGTCAAACAGTTTAGAATCTTCATTTCCCTCAGGCAGCGTGATAACAAGTGTGCCAATGTCTTGATCAGTGCTTCACCTCCTGAATCAACAAGTTTCGCTGCAACACAGTCTTAGCTACGAGTTCTTCCTCGCTTTGACTACTTTATTGCACGTCGCGTTTCTCCTGGTCAGATATCTAGAATTTCGTCAAAGTCACTTGTACTTTAAACTCCTAGTCGTTGCTGTCCTCATGTTTGAACGATTTTCTATAGAAATCTTCCACGCTATTTTGAATCCCTCGATTATCTCGGATGAGAGTCCCATCTCATTCTTTGAGAGCTAATATTTTTCGTATCCCAACTGTCATTCTTTGATTTAATTTCTTAATGCGTTAGTTTTTTACAAAAGTTTGTTTTTACCAACCTGCAGCTGAATGCTGGAGCGTCTTCCATTATGTGTTTGCTTAAAGTTTCGCAAACTTCCACGTATTCGATCTGTGATTTCTTCTCTGTTGCTGTTTTCATGCCTCTTCGTTTCTTCACGAGTTCTTTTGTTTGCCTCTTGATTTTTCCTTAGGCCTTCAAAATCCTTTTTCAGGAAGCGTTGATCATCGTTTGTGTAATTGTTCTCTATATATCCTGATACACAATGTTAATATTCACTAATTACCCTCTTTCTTCATCTGGGAATCGCGAGAGACCTTCGGTATTGTTTCCATACTGAGTGCATTGCGTTTTTCCTCATTGATTTTTCCTTCCAAGACTCATTCCAGGGGCAATTTACTTCTGACGAGCTGATGAATGTTCCCTGCATCACATCTGCTGAGCACCGCGATGTCCTGCAATATAACACTGATGTTGCTGACGATAAAATCTAATTATTTTTGACTTATTTTGCGCCTTTTCATGTTCATTGTTTACTTTGTTTTTTTAGGAATAAAGTGTTTATAATAAATAACTTGACTTTTTCAGAACACTCCACTAGTTTTGCACCTTCCCCGTAACCGAATCGGTCCATAAGGCATTCGTTACCATGCTGGGTCTGACTCTGGCGTCGAAATCACCAGTGATCAACCGGTAGTGGCTGTATCGACGTTCATGCGTTTCTCTCTCTTCGCAAAATCTTCAATCTCTTCGTCAGGATGGCTTAACGACGGAGCATATATTTCGATTGCTTGGAGTTCATACCTCTTGGGAGTACTCAGAACAAGTCTTGTATACCTCATTGCATGTTTCCTCCCCAGACCAAATGATCTGACCACCAGATCATTCCAACATTTCATTAGACGATCGACTCGACGTTCGTGGTCCACCGGAAACCGGTTTGTATATTTTTACGTTCACGAGTTGCCCCTCAGGCGAGCCAGATTACCTGCTCATTTTTTAGCATCATAGAAGGCAAAAATTACGTCCCTTAATCCAGTCCCTTATAGAATATGCGCGTTGAGAACGTGATCCCGGAAGAACACGTTACACATTCTTCGCCCTATCGCTCTTTGGGTGACCAGCGGTTTGTTCTCTTCGACTTTAAAAGCAGACCAACTTTCAGTGAGTAGGGGGGAGCAAGACGAGCAGGATCGTTGAATGGAACAGTTCTTTCTTTCCTCGCTTTGGCAACTCACTGTCGAGAAGTGATGCTTCAATATGATTGCAGCTGGCCGATGCCACCTTCTTTCTTCAACTGACAAAATTAATAATAATCGAATAAAATGGAGGATGCAATTTTGAATAAACTGCGACCTGACGAACCAATTTGCATTTTTTAAACCACATGCGATGACGCTTGCCAATGCCATTCTGTAGTGCTCTTTTCGACGAGTGACCTACTCTTAAATGCTACCCACTGATTCTGGAGGTTCCATTTACCAAAGACGCGCTGGAGAACAGAATGCAACAGGGAAACCCATCATCGAAGCACAGGATGCTGGCAGCAGAGAATACTATATGTTCTCTACAATGGACGTGGTCTAAACGGACTTCTGGCTCTGAACGTACGAACTGTTGCAAACGACGAGAGACCTTCTGAAGATTGTACGCTTCTGTACCTTGAAGAGGAATTGTGGGACAAGAGCCGAAACGCCGTTGCTGTCAATCATCCGATGTACTGCACTGTTGGTATTGCCTATAAATAAGCCGTTTTTTGTGCTGTTTTCAATAGCATCGAGAATGCTCATTGCATTTATGAAACATGTGCATGCGCATTGCGCTTTGACCACATTTCAAAGGTCATAAAAACCATCTGATCATTGCTGAATGAATGAAAACAAAAAATGGTCCATATTTCTTGTGAAAAATAATTCATCATGAATTTTCAATTCTCCTAACAATGTGCTGGGTGAACAGATCGGTGCATAACTTTACTCGTGTACTGATTTGGACAGTCGGCCATTTTTTTCGAGTCACGGGTGCAGCAGAATCAGGTTCACTAATGATCCCTTTCATCTGCCTGTAAGTTTAGCATCGCCGACTGGATTCCGCGACAGAGTACGGTTTTGGACATGCTCGAGCTCTCTGACCCTCGGACTAACCGTTGGTCACCTGCAGCACGGCAGAATCCTGATCGAGTGTTTTAAAGGCAACCACGATCGATATTTGGTATGATGAAGAACCGAATCACAAGGGAGGCTATTTCACGCATGCATGCCCGAAACTCGTTGAACCTCTTTATACCAAGAATCCTTAGTAAACGTGATGTGCAGTTTTGGTTTAAAAAATTAAGGAAAGAAAATTGAGTGCAGGCGTTGTTAATGAATGAATGAACGAATGTATTTGACTGCTGGAACATACTGACCATAAATTTCAGGCATGGCCATAAATTTCAGCATAAAAAATAACGACAAAGAAAACGAAGTGCATGAGTGTGTGGTAGAAAATGAAGTAGCTGCCTGCACCATCTGCTAAGCAATTTAGTAATACGGCATTCATCTCGATGTGCTCAATATGGCTTACACCCGATTTGAACGTTTCGGGCATTTCATTTCTCTGGCATATTTCCCCTACTATAATTCCGAAGGTTTCTACATTAAATGACCGTGATTACCAAGGAGATGATGCCATAGTCTGCATTTTTATAACTTTGAACTTTCTATTAATCAATAATTGCAGAGCAGCTAGTCTGCATCGGTCTATCAGTAGATTTTCCACTACGAATTGAAACGTGTCATTTTCTTCATAATTACCTATCTTTCCCTTCATCGTAGGAGCAACGCTTAATTTGCATGCCTCTTCCATTCAACTATGATTATTAATCACTGAATCTAATCACTAGCTACCATTGGAATTACGCATAGAGAAACTTTGGTTTGGACATCGGTAATGAGCTGGATGACTTCAAAACGCGATAAACTGGTCTGTCAGATAATAGACTATAACGACTTTGCGGTCAACGTCTCACGGGCCTTCTTCAAAGTCAGAGTGGTGGTAAGGTTCAGATGACGAACTGAACAACAACGGGCTGCTTGAAACAGCAGCATCAACACCATTCGAAAACACAAATTTTCTTCGAAGAAAGACCTAGTGGGATTCAGATCGAGAAGTCGATACCGGTCTATCAGTCAGTAGAGCGATTCTTTGCCTTATATTCAAATAAGTGTTTAATAAACCATTTCTGGCTGTCCTTCATCTTGAAACCCTTTCTCATTCTTAATGGTGAATTTCATTGCGTAATTCTGCTTGGGTCGAAATCCATAAATGTTGTATTACTATAATTTTACTTGGGAAAGATTCTTTTAGACAGGTAATTTGTTAAGAATGGAGTCCGTAAAGAGTGGACGCAGTGCATCTGCAAATTAAGAAGTCACAGAAGCTCACATGAGGCATTTCTTTGCAATATTTGCTGAATAAACAAATTAGACAGCTAAAAGAGGAAGTCCTCAGAGGCATGGCACTCTCTACTAGTCCCCTGATGAAACAGATGGCCGCGACGCCAGTACGACTTATCAGGACGGCGGATAGGAGGGCACTAGGCAACAGCGACAGTGGTGTCAGCAATTAGCCGGTTTTGACGGATAAGGGACATAAGTGAGGCCACGTGATTTGTCGTTGTCGTTGTCGCAGACGAATAAATTGTTTTCCAGGCACGGGCACGAAACCGGGTCAACGTGGCGGCAGTCAAGCGTTGTCCTGTCCACCGACTGCAACTTCATCTGACCGGCCAGTGACCGTCTACGTCGTGGTTTGGCCAGTGCTCAAGCAAGATCTGGGATTCGGCGTTCGGCCTCGGTTCGGCACCGCTTTGTCCCCCGTTCTTTGTGTCCTCGTAGCTGCTGGCCAGCCAATCGTCGCGGCCTGATCATCATTAGAATCCGGGGCGAGGTTTGGCCCCTTCGGGCTCGATTCCGGTTTGCTCGATTAGGCGTCGCATGTTCGTTCAGTTTCAGTTCCGAAAGCAACGACGACTGTGCCGCTTCGCCTCATCCGACCCCGGTCCCTGAAACAACGCCTGCTGTTCCCTGGCCGACGGGTCGCTATATTTCAAAAGCATGGTTTTTTGTGAACCCTGTTTGTCGGGTTGCAACAACAGGGTGCTGCTGTAGAAAGTGGCCGGCGAAAGGCGATTGGTAATAAGGAAGACGAATTGTTGACATTGCGAGTACAGCGCCACCTGGCGACCGAATAAACCTGCCCTCT